GCTGAAAGAGTATGACGTCGATTGAGGGCTTGTGGGCCATAAGGAGTTATATCTGTGCCTGGATTATACCCCTTCTTCTCTTACCCATACTATTTGTTACCACAACACCGGTAAGTGTCTGTAGTTAAACAATAGGTGTGTAAAATACAATTAATTAAGCAATTAAGCAAGATTTTATCATATCTGCACAATGTCATTAACCTATTGGTGATAATGAACTATACTATCATAGCTTTGTTATATACTTTCTATAAGACAATTACATAATTTTGAAATAGAAATGTCAAACTTTTGTGGTTGTATTCATTTCGCAAAAGTGTTACAGAAAAATGATTTTTAATATTATATATAATAGTTTTTATTAATTTTCAATTTATTTGAACCTAATTTGCAAGTGATTTAAATTTTATTCTAATATAAAATGTAATTATTAAAAATGTAATAAATTTATTATCTGTTTCAAAGCACAATACAGTTATATAATTGTGAGCATTGAAACGGTTTCATAAGTATGAATATAATTGACAGTAATTTTTGGTATTTTTTATTCACTTCCTAACCATAACATTGAACTATTTTTTGCTAAATTATTATGAAATGATCACTACTTTTCTTATTTCTATTCAATTATATATAAAGTATATCATAATCTAAACCCAATTCGCGAGTATTAAGAAATAAATAAGTGATACATTTAATCAATGAATAAAATTCCTCTTTTAATATAAGCGATCCATTTATTTGAGAAAAAATCTAAATGTAAATTAAATTTACTATCAATGAGTTTAATGACAATCTTTGAGTTAAATTCCAGCCCTAAGACTAAATAATGTTTACCCATAGACTAAATATAATACACAGTAAATAAAATGCTTGCGAAACACTCTTGTAATATAACGATATACAGTATTTACTGAATCCAAAGCTTTGGTTCAAAGTTTTTTCATTTAAAATTCAAAGTGTTATGAAAGAAATAATGTTTTTGATAACAATTTAACAATCAATTAATTGAATTGCAATTAAATCTATATGAAATATAGGCCGGAAAATGCGCTTATGTTGTGCTCGTCATGAGTTTCTATTGGTTCTCGGAAGCGATCCCTATATCTGTGACGGCACTGTTGCCGATGGTATTGTTCCCATTGCTCGGTGTCTTATCTTCAGACCAAACCGCCAAAGCCTATGTCAATGTAAGTGAAATAATTATCATTTGTTTTGACTGCTAATAACATGTCTGAGGGTCTGATTGAAGGGCACAGTCATGATATTCTTGGGCAGTCTTATAGCCGCCGCCGCCGTCGAGAAATCACTCCTACATAAGAGGATTGCGTTAAAAGTGCTTTTAGTGACCGGAACTTCACCTAAAAGGTGCTTTCAATTGGTTTTTATATTTAAAAGCAATAAATAATTGATAATTTTTTAATTTATCAAATAGACTATTGTTTGGATTTATGTTTACGACGGCATTTCTGTCGATGTGGATCAGGTGAGTGATAATTAAGACACACATAGAATAGTGACAATTAGAATATAACCTTGATATATTTAATGGGCAGCAATCTGGCGGCCACAGCGCTTATGATACCCATTATAAACGCAGCTTTGGATCAAATAAAGCAACGGAAGTCCAAATCGTACGGAACTCTAACCCAAAGCAACGGTTCGTGAGATTCGCCTTTACTTACGATTAGATAACTATTTAATGTTTGCAATCGTTTGACAATTTATATGAGATTTTTGTTATTATTTAAACAAGAATTTCTATCAAAACTCAATTAATATGTAAATAATATCATAACAATTAATCAAACATTTATTATTATTATTGTTGCTGTGGTTTGTAGTGTTGACGATGGAGTTCAGGGAAGGACAGTATAAATCGCAAGTGCGGCGCACGAGTGCCACTCAGTAATGCACTGATATTTTTAATTAATTTATCACTTGATTGTCTAATTTTATTTTTATCTCATTTTGTTGTGCAATTAGTATCAGAATCGATGACGAATGCCAAGAATCGATGACCAAATCGGTATTTCTGGGCGTGTGTTACGCGGCCAACATCGGCGGTACGGGCACTCTCACCGGCACCTCAACTAATCTGATACTCAATGGCATTCTCAAAGAGTAGGACACAATCTACACAATCTAACCATTAATAATAGTCGTTATAAATAATAATAATTGATTATAATCTGAATTAATAGAAACCCGATCTCATTTTCTGACTGGATCATTTTCAATGCCCCGGGAATGTTCCTCTTGGTGTTCATTACGTGGGCTTTCATCGTCTCATTCTTCATGAAAACGTCTGAAGACTCGTACGAATATAGAAATTAATATTGATTTCTCTACTTTTGACAATAATTGCATTTTTAACTTATATTTAAATGAATAGATTGACGGCAGAGAAAGACAACGAAGCCGTCTATAAAGCAATTAAATACAAATACGACGAATTGGGATCCATTTCGTGAGTGTTTCCCCGTTTTATATGCACTTTATATGCGTTTTATATAAATTTTGCTATAATTTTATATTCATTTTCCCCTCAAAATAGTTTCTATGAGTTCTCAGTTCTCGTACTCTTCATATTATTACTACTTCTCTGGTTCTTCAGAGATCCAGACTTTCTCAAGGGTTGGGCCGTCTATTTGAATGGCGAACACAAGTACTGTATAAACAACTATTGTATTTATGATTGCGAAACAAGTTTGTTAATTAAAACGTGAATTTGCGATCCAAACGTACAGTTTCATTAAGGACTCGTGTCCGGCCATATTCATTGTCATGTTTTTCTTCATAATACCCGCCAATCCAACTAATCTGAGACAATCGGCACCACTGTTGGACTGGAAGACCACTCAGGAGTCAGTGGCGTGGGGTATAATCCTTCTGATTGGCGGCGGTTTCGCGATGGCAGAGGGGGCGGAGGTGTCGGGTCTGTCCACATGGATGGGCACCCAATTGACAGTATTGGAGCACTTGTCCCCATTCGCCATAACACTCATAGTGTGTATCATAGCGCTGATGGTGACAGAGGTGGCCAGCAATACAGCCACCTGTACCATAATGTTGCCGGTTATCAAGCGAATGGTAAATTACACTTACATTTATTTATTTTATATTATCTTTTTTTTTGCACTCAATTTGTTAATTGAATACAAAAACTTGAATTTGATATGACATACAAAAGGCAATTGAACTGAACATGAGCCCCCTATCGGTAATGTTACCTGTTACATTGGTGTGCTCGTACGCATTCATGCTTCCGGTCGCCTCGGGAACCAACGCTATCATATTTGAAACGGCCAAGATGAGAAATAAAGATATGGTTAGTTCACTACCACTCACTTTAATGATAGTCCATTTGATATTTGATTTTTTGTTTAATTTTGTGTATTTTTTTGTGAATTAGGTAATTCCCGGATTATTTATGAAAATCATATGCCTTTCGGTCACTCTATTCATGATTAACACGTGGGGAACAGTTGTACTCGATTTGGATGGCTTTCATTATAACGGCACACATTCCTATGACGGCCAACCATTGACTACACTTAGGGCTTAATTAATATAATTATTAACATAATGTAATTTAATTTATATAATAACTATTATATCTACTTTTCATTCTATTTAGTATTAAGATATTATTTTTAGAAATATTCATTCTTATTCATTAAATGTAATCAACAAAACACACATTATTTTTTAAGTTTTAATAAATATATTTACCAAAAATATTTTACTGTGCTAATTTATATCTCCTGATAATTATAAGTGAATTTAACATAAAACATGCTTAAATTATACCTAGATGCAATTATTATAAGAAATATACCGTAATTTTATTAACATTTGTTTTGTGATTCATTTAACTTATATTTAAAATATTCATTTACCACTTAAACTTTAAGTCTTAAAGGCATCTCAATAATATGTGATATTTGTCCGCATAATGCATTTTACGCACATTATTTCATAAAACATATAATAATAGCTAATTTATATGAAAATTCTTAATAATAATGGAAAAACCATTTCATAGATCAAAGTCTAATGACAGGTAACAACTTACAAGTTAGTACTTGTTGGCAATCATAAATAAACCAGATAAATTTTTTAAAAAATTTCCAAACAAGCACAATAATACTAACTATAAGTAAAGTGTACTACTAATGGAAATTATTTATAATTGGATTCAACGACAGCCGGAATTAAATAAATTATATTTCAATAAATTTTTGTATTCAATTTGTAAACAATTTTATTGATTAATTATCATTCGGTATTACAATAACACAACAGAGATTTGTTTATAACAATCAATATGTTTATCACAGTTATTAATAGTACTATAGAATGGGCTGTTGATAACCTTTGGCCAAATTGTGGAAACAATACTCCACCAAATGGTCGACAGCGTCTTCGGTCTTAATCTCAACATCGGATCCGCGACTCAATTCTTCGCAAACATTTGCAAAAATATAAAGTTTTCTCAATACAAATGGATTCTATTGGATATAATGAAAGAGATATAGAAATTAATTAAAATGAGAAATCGTTTAAACAAATGAAAATAGTTTTGTTGTTAATTACTTCATTCAAATTGAGACACTTTTCATGGAAAGTATCCACAAGTTGTTGATAACACTCTCTATTATTAAGCTCTTGTTTTTGGGTTAAAATGGTATCAATTTGTTCGCCGACCAAATGCTTAATACTATTGACGTATTGATGGAAGTGTTTGGTCGCAAACTCTCGGCCGTCGACCAGACGTTGCAATTGTTCAGTAAGACTACAGAATAAAACAAATGTTAAATATATAAATATAAACTAAACATAATTAGTAAATATAATTACATTTGTTTTTCAGTCTCATCTCTGGCCGCTTCGAGTTTCTTCTGATGGATATGTAAGGGCACGTCTCCACTGTCGACGGCGTCAAAAACAACGGGCACTTCATCGCCACCCAAGACATCAATCGATGGTTTTTTATCGCCTTTAAAAATAGCAAATATTGAAAATTCATATCCAGTAATAAATAACATGGTAATCGTATATACCCTGGAATTCACCCAATCCTTCGCTGGCAATTTTGAAGTCACCATATTCCATCACATGGGATGTATTGGTCTCCTTCTTGACCAGATTGAACTGATCCAGAAGAGTCTCTTTGCCCCAATCCTTGCGATCGCTGTCTTCAATCCAATTCACACTATACACGTCGCCTGCATATCAAGACAATTCATTATAAACATGTAATTTAAGTTACAATGTATACTGTATTTTAGGTAATGCTAATACTAACCAAGGTAAGTTTGTCGCTTGTCATCAAAATAACAGGCATAACTGGATTCAGTGGGATTGGAGGCCGTCGTCGCGTAAACATTGATATTTTTCGGTAATAGTTTGCTAAACATTGAGCCTATGATTGAATTAAGATTTATTGTATTAAATATGTAGTAATTAATAGCAATGAATACAAACCTGATTCACACGCTTCCAAGTAAAAGACGAGTTGTGAGTATCGCTTGTTGTCGTACATGTATTGCAGGGCTTTGTTTAAGTCCTTTGCGTACAAGTATTCAGT